CTACGTATTGCATTATGCAAATCTGCTGCACAAGACCTTTTTAAAGTGTTGAAGAGCAAAGATGTCAGCTTGAAGACTAAGGTGCTCCTGACCCAAACCATGGTATTTTCAATAACCTCATATGCATGAGAAAGCTGGACAGTAAATACGGAAGACCATAGAAGAATTGATGCTTTTAAGTTATGGTATTGGAGGAGAATATTGAAAAAGTGCCATGGGCTGCCAAAAGAACCAACTTATATGTGTTGGAAGAAGTGCATCCAGAGTGCTCCTTGGAGGCCAGGATGGCCAAATTTTGTCTCTTATACTTCGGACATATTGTCAGGAGGGACCAGTCACTGGAGAAGGATACCATGTTTGCTAAGGTGGAGGGTCAGAGAAAAAGAGGAAGGCCCCCAACAAGATGGATTGGCCAAGTGGCAGCATCAATGGGCTCAAGCATGGCAACAGTTGTGAGGTTGGCCGAGGATCGGGCAGTGTTTCGTTCTGCTGTGCATAGGGTCATTATGAGTTGGTACCGACTCGATGGTACCTAACAACAAGAATTATCTCTCTTCATATAAACACAGCTTGGTCCTACAGAAACTGAAATTTTCAAATACAAACTATTGAAAGTCAAACTAAATTTCTGTAACATATGTTCTAGTCCAACTCTGACTCATGAAGGTCACTACAAATTCCCTCCATTGTTGCTAAATTTAATGAAAGCCTGTGATACACTCGATCTAAAATGATCTTAGAAATGAAAAAGAATAGGTCATTTAACCCAACTTCTCCAAAAGAAATGTTTTCCCACATGCAGCCAGTGAACTCTGCCCGGTGAGTGTTAACTATCTGCCTCCACTGCTGAACTGTGACTTTTCATTAGAAGTGTGCTCTTCTTGACTCTGAATCCTCTCTTCTTTATAAGAATGGGTGCTGACACATACCTATGGGCTGATACTTCACGGCAAACCGTGTATACCAGGTGTCTTCAAGCTTCTTCAGGGCTTCATTATCATGCAGTGGAAACACCTGAATCACAACACCAGACGTGATCAATCTTCTCACTGCAGAGAGAAGATCAAAGACTGATCATGATGCTTCATCAAACACCTCAGAAACAAACTGTGACTCTTCAAGCAAATACTCTAGTAAGACACTGGTGGTGGTGGGCCTTGAAGTCAGTTCTGACTCATAGGGAACCTGCATAGGGTTTCTGAGAGCGTAAATCTTTACAGGAGCAGAAAGCCTCATCTTTCTCCTGAGGAACGGCTGGTCATTTCGAACTCCTGACCTTGAGGTTTGCAGCCTGACTCCTAACCACTATGCTTCCAGAGCATGACTGCTCCATGAAAGTTAGCTGTACTGCCTACTCAAAAGATGTATATTCTTTTCTTCAGAATACAAATCTTTATTATTTTCTTTGACTATAAAAGCAGTACAAGTCCTGTAAAATTTAAACCATACAGAAGTATACAAATCAGAATATGAAGTCCTCTCCAAGAAGACCAGCAAATCAATGGCAGCAGCTTGGAAGGGGCACACAATTAAAATTTTCTGTTTAGAAATACTACACATGACAAAGAGATACCATGTATGCTCCAATCACGTCCATATTGTAAAATCTCCAGGGTAATTTAAAAGTAAACAAAAGTTCTTAGAAATGGCAGGGGGAGGTGGGGAGGGGGCTAGAGAATGATTATGAAGACAGCTTTGAGTAACTATATGGAAACAAAACAAACAAACAAAAAACCTGCATCTAGAAAAAAGACTTACAGTTCTGCTTAGAATTACGTCTATTTGTGTTAAAAAAAAAAAAAAAAAATCCTCCTTAATGATGGAAGACAGGCATATGGACTCAAAATATAAGTAACTAGGATAAGGAGGCCTATGGTGTGTGTTAAGGAGCTCTGGTAGAGTAGTAGCTACGAGTGGGCTTGCTAACCTGAAGCAGTTTGAAATTACCAGCTGTTCTGTGAGAGAAAGATGAGGCTTTCTGCTCCCATAAAGATTTGCAGCCTCAGAAACCGTCCATAGGCTCACTGAGTCAGAACTGACTCCACAGCACACTACCACCACCACGGTGTATGTTATTCAGCCTTTGGGGCTATCAATTTATGTATGTGTGTGTATTTTTATGCTCGAGTGTTTCAGTGGATCTTCTTTCAGCTAAAAACAGTGAAAACTGACCTTCCACAAACCAGTGTTCTGATTCTTACCCCTTACTTGAGCTATACCTGATGCTTTCTTCAAAAAGAAACAGCACAAACACAAAACCCACTGTTTCTTAAGGTTTCTGAGACTTTAAATCTTTATGGAATCACACAGCCTCATCTTTCTCCTGCGGAGCAGCTAGTGTGTTTGAACCACTGACCTTGGTAAGCAAGCCCATCGTCTAACTCACAGCATCAAAATTACGACATTAAGTTTTTTAACTTTGAATTGACTAAAGACATCTCGATTATTATTTTACTATTTGAAAGTTGTTTTATTTTTCCTGTTTTGTTTTTTTTTTTAAATGACTCTTCTACTATAGAACACTTTCCAGACAGGCATAAAAGCCAACTTGCATATTTCTAAAAATAGAATTGTGAACTGAGGAACTGGGAGAGAATATAAACCTGCAGGACCTAAATTACTGGGTTTCTCTTCATCATCAATGCCAAGAGCAAGGCTCCAGTTTCAGTCTCTAAAAATAGCCGACTTTTTTTTTTAATCCTTCAACCTTCTCAAGTCAACTACGAATGTAATTACCATGAGCTTTACCTTCAAAGAAAAGTATGATGCTGTGCTGGCCTATTTAAAGAAAGGAACAGTTTAAACCAAGAGTCCATCCTTCAAGAATGTTAAATGTCTTGAAAGAAAGACCTGCAGGAAAAATGGAGGCAGATGGGCTGTTACTACAAAAACAAACAAAGCGCTTCCCTAGAAAACATCAAGGCAAGTGGCCAGGTCCTCTCAACGCAGACCCCCTTCCAAGACTACGACTCAATGGAAATGCACGCTCTGATTGGTGACCACACACATCACCGATGGGGAGAAGTGGGGTAAAAGCAACAATGAAGCGGCAAGCTAAGCCCTACAATGTTCAGTGGACTTCTGTGGACCCAGTTGGGGACCTGGTTGGCAAGCCGTGTGAAGAGGGCTGGGGACTCCTGGGCCCAGAGTCAGTGGCGTGGCCACGGAGGACTC